GACAGTCTAAACACTTTGGTAGAGCATGCCAATTATTAATTTTGTTATTTCACATTTGGCTGTTTTTGTATAGATCTTTTCGCGGCCAGGAACCGGTGTCATAATCGAGGTCACGATCTGATTATAGGACGTTAAAAAGTCGAGGAAAAAAAACAAGCACTCGCAGCAGTCAAGATATTATTAGGAGTTAGTTCCCCTCACATCTGTGAGGTAGACTCGACCAGTGTAAAGCAATGAAACGGTTTTGAAGGTTAGGCATAGTCTATTGTTCATTGGTGATTATGAACGTCTTTTTACATTTAATTTATGAGGTTTATGTCTATAGGTGAATTTTGATTGCGACAATGTTTAAAAATCAAGAAGGGAAGCAGTGATTATTTGATTATATAGACGCTTCGCCACTGGCTCTAAAATACATAGACTGGAATAAACAAACTATCCAGCTAAGAGAAAAGCCAGTTTTTTCATGGTAGGGTTTTCCCTGCATAATTCAGTGTCTTGTGTGACAAATCAATGTTTGATGACCAAAAGAAAACTTTTACCTTTGCAGTCTCCAGTCATCCTGAACAAAGGGAAACCACTGTGTTCAAGACTCTTGGGAGCTTTCTCTCAATAAAAAAAAAGTTGGACTTGGCCACATCGAAAGAAAGCTTGATGGATTTTGGGCTTCGGTGTACCACGTGACAAAAATGACACAAATAATCTCTGAGCGAATTGGTTCAACCTCAAAGATTAGAGTATCACTTGTTCAGTTTTAGTAAAGTTTTTACGGCGCTCGCAACTGCACAAGGTCATATGAGCGCCAAGGGGTGGATGTCAACAGAGGAGTATTTACAGGGAATCAGGCTTACCCTGCTCCCTTCTCTAGCTTCAACAGCACAAAGTCTGCTTCGTATATATCAAGGTACCCCAGAAACAGCGGGTCACAAGTGTGTGACAAACATACAAAAGAAGTAGAGGAAAAATGACGAGAGTAAGGATTAAAAAAGAAAAGGCAGCAGCTCCCTGTTGCAGTTTAGCCAAAGTTATGAGCATGACATTGTTGAATCAGCCCATTTACAATTCTAGCGTGCATAAGAACAAGATCCCCCATTTGGGAATTAAACAGTCATAAAACTCACACAGTATTACTCCTTGAGTATATCTTTTCTAATTTAGTAAGGCGATTATATTCTCCACACCTTTGCTCATTTTACTAAGAAATTATAAAACCTAGAGCTCTGGCGATGACAAGGTGTGTCACACGAGACACTGAAACTTTATACTAATGTTTGCTCGTAACACATAACACTGAAATTATTTTGAGGTTTATGGAAAGCTATTAGGCAAATTTTCATGTGCAAACTCTTATACATACCTGAATTATGATGTTTTTAGTTTTGGCACTATCTGACATACTGTATTGCATCTCAAAATAGGCAGTCAACTGAAAAGCTTTTTTGTAACAGAGTATTTCAAACCTGTTTAAAATCAACAAGCTTTCTCTCGATATCTCTTTGTCCATTTCTCTAGCTAATTCATCAATGCTGAGCCAGAAAATGCAATAATATTATACAAAAAAGGTGTGACTACTTAAAGTATGCCACTGAATCAAAGACACCTTTTGACCCGAGCTCAGATGTGTTCACAATAATGCTCCATCATAATATAATTAGACTGTCTGAGCTTTTAAAATCGTATGTTCCATCCCGTCAGGTACAGCCATCCACTGACGCAACAAAATTCTGAGCTCCTAGTTCAATGTTTGGCCCTACAATTTGGAACTCCTTGCCCCAGGAACTCAAAGAAATAACAAACTCTAATACGTGCGATTGTTTAACACTCTTTGTTTAAGTCTTCTGTTGAGGTGTGTAGTGTTAGTGGGTGCTGATATGTCTTGTTTTCGACTTTGATAATAAAATTGTTTTGTCAATTGTGTTTCCTGTCTTCTCCATCTTCTCTCGGTCTGCGGCATGCCGCCTTCGCTGCTCTCACCTCTAAAATGTGCTATGGGGAGTAAGGTTTCTGTGTGATGTTTGTAGCGACCATGGGTGCATGGGTAGTAGTACAGTGGAAACCTGATATAACAGGGATGGTGGGAGTAGAGAACATGTCCTGTTATACCCGATCCCTTTTAAATCAGAAATGCAAGGAAAGTAAGCATTTGTGGACTAATCCCAATTCATGGGTCGTTTCCTTTGCCACAAGTACCCACGGACAGGGGTTTTGGCACCAACGTTCTCCTTGCATCCTTAAACCACATTAGAAGAGCTTGTTCCACAGCATCTGCATCGGGTAGTCTCATCTTATTTCGATCCAGAGCAAACTTTCCTTTGGAGTATGCTGCCGCTATCTTCTCTCTATTCTTGATAATGGTGTGGATCGACCCTTGTGGAAAGTCGAACTGACGACCAATCTCTGCCAGTGGAGCTTGCTTATCGTCAACCGCCTGGATTATTCCATATTTTTGGGTCAATTGAAAGGCATTTTCTCTTGTGCTTGACATCGTTGGTGACAGTAGACACATTACGCGTGCGTCGAGGTCTGCAGCACACCGCAGCCCCCTCTCGCTTCACATGCTGCGTGTGCTTGCAGTGGCATGGCTTGCATGGGCTTGCTCCATCACTGTGTTACTCTCTCTCTCTCTCTCTCTCTCTCTCTCTCTCTCTCTCTCTCTCTCTCTCTCTCTCTCTCTCTCTCTCTCTTACTTTTTACACATTGTTAACGAGCCTTTGTCCCTGCTATAATCGGTTGGGCTCCGATGAGGCCCTGTTATTGCCGATAACTTTTAAAAGAGACAAAGAGTAGGAAAAGTCGGGGATTTAAAATATCCCTGTTATTACCGGATCCCTGTTATTACCGGGCCTGTTATATATGGTTTCCACTGTAGTGAGCACCTCTGATACTGCTTGGTTAAAGCAGTCCGTGCTAGCTTCCTGCAGGCTTGTCATGGAAGCTTCGATGTCAGATTTGAATTTTGTTACAATATTCTTTTTAAGAAGTAATTCAGGAGGGGTTTTTTTCCCCTTTTTTTATTCTTCTTTTTTTGTAAGCGTTTTACGGCGCTCGCAACTGCATAAGGTCATATGAGTGTGAGGGACACATATTTTATGGCATTTTCAGGTTGGTAGGAATCAATTTTGAATTTTACCGGAGTGGCACCCGAAGCCAACCTTACCGATTTTAGGACCACCAAGGGATCTTTAACGTGCATAACTTCCTCCTTATCCTCCAAGAAGGCAAGACGTTCGATCTTACCCACTCTATGAACAGGGGTGTGGCTGAAACACAATAGTAAGAAGGAGCCAAGAGTAACAGTGGAAAGAGTCAGGAGCCAAGGGGGGGGGGGGGGGGGGCGAAAGTGGAGATGAAAGCAGATGGCACAACATGGGGCCATTTGCTGGTGGAATTTCTAAAATCCATATCCTTTGACTATATATAGCAACGATGATATATTTATATTAGTCAGACATCAAAGAATAATTCACTTACTTACTTTACTTGTTCATCCTCTGTTGCCGTTAAGCGTCGAGGGGAGATGCAGTTTTCTATGGTAGGCTAGCTCCACAGCTCTTTCAGTTGTGATGTTATGTTTTCTTAGGGTTTCTTGACACCCTCGATCCACCTTATGCGTGGCCTTCCTCTTCCTTTATAGCCAGAGTGCTTGTATTGGTGTTGTAGGCTCTCAAGGCTGGCTGGTCAGGTGACATGCGTAACAGGTGGCCAAACCATTTTATCCTCTACCTTTCTATGTAACGCAGGCAGGACTCCGTGCCGATAGCTGCTCTTACTTCTTCATTTCTCTGCCTGTCTCGTCTTGTGATGTTAAGGGTTTTGCGGAGACATTTAATTTCGCATGCGGTGATTTTGCTTTCATGGGTTTTGCTTAAGGTCCAGGTCTGGCACTGATAACATAATGTTGGTATGAATATTGAGGTGATAAGCTGTCTCTTTGTGTCCATGGAGATGTTTAGATGAGATAGAAGGGGTGCGAGCTGGTAGGTGACAGCGTTGGCTTTTTGAGTTTGCATTTCTATTTCTCTGTCTATGGACCCGTTTTCAGAAAAAGTGCAGCCAAGATATTTAAACTCTTTCTTCACCCTTTTTCAGTTGTTTACTATTGACATGGATGTTCAGGGGACTATGGTTTCGGCTCACTTTCATAACTTCTGTTTTTGATGTGCTTATTTTCATGTTGAATTTCTCACAGGTGTTGTTGAGTTCGGTAGTGTGATTTTGGAGGATTTGTTGGTCATGATGAATTAGACATTGGTCGTCTGATCTATTATTATAAGCACATGGTGTCCATGGTAACCAAGCAAACATCCACTATATTGGATAATTTCATCAAATTTCAAAAGCTATCTTCTTTTAGTTTTCGTCCGGAGTTGCAATATTACGATTTTGAAAATAATCATGGACTCTGGAAATATGTACATGGATAAAGAGTTTTAAAATTAAAAAATTCCCAACAAAAGCACTGATTGTAATTTTATCCTTTTATTATCTTCAAAAACGGCTCTCTTTCAGTATAGGTCACCCAAGGATGGACAATGTGTAAAATAATTAAGCTATTCAGATGAAAATAACTACATTCTAAAATTTAACATTATCATTTATTGAATTGAGAACCCATTCAGGGGTTAATCCGAATCTTGCCGAGTACAGGCTGATGACAATCAAAGCAAAATGAGACCCCGGCACAATTTACGCAGTAAAGAACGTGTCCGCACGGTAGGAATTGAACTTCCCGCGGTCGTCTGTTACACACGCGGCATGTGCTTGAGGCTGTCTCACCCTCTTCTTGAACTGGCCGTGACACTGTGAAATAAAACAAAGAAAAGAGAGGGCGAAACGGATTTTAGCTGCCCTCCACACAGAGGAAGAATTCTTTTACATCGTATGCATACATAGACGCACACTCGCACGCAAGCTCACACACGCATGCAAGCACACATTCGTGCCCATCAACCCGCCCGCACGCACGCACTTGTCGACCTACCAGCTTACCTACAGACATGCACTCATGCATTTAGACATCATGGAACATATACCTACCTACCTACCAAGCGCGGTTCGTCCATAGAGCACGGTCGTGCAGTGCTGCCCAAAATGTTTTAATGTTCTATGACGTAAAGCACCCCACAATAATAAAATAAAAGACGCCAGAAACAAACACTAGCCAAATATTATATCAAAACAAGGCCCTCGCTGGCGCCGTAACTTTCATTTCTATTCTATAGCGCCGTAAAACATCTACAATGCCATGCCTAAGTTCATGCATTGTATCTAAACATAACAGGATAGTCAACAGTGGAAACCTGACCTATAAATCGCTCTTTGGGATGACCCAAGCGATGACGACACTTGTAGAGGGTTTGGCGGTACTTTAATGTTAATAAGACGGCACATCTCAAATGTGCTCCAGCCGAATAGCGCCGAAACATAGCCCACAGTAGGCAATCTAAAAATAAACGCAATAGACTGTGCACTATTCCATGCCAAAATTGTGTGTGCCCCGGAGCAATCCAGCGGAGTGCTCAAGAGAATTGTGATTGGTTCATTGTCTTGCCGCTATTTTAAGTGACTCTGTGACCGTGAACCTGAGGGAGGTGAACGTGACATACTTAAGTCACCGTCATATGAGTTGTGCTTTTGAACGGTTTTGTAGTGGAGTGGTGAAAGGTATTACTTGAGTGTTGAGTTCTAATGCAGGATGAATGAAATTGACGTTTAGCTAACAAACAAGAATGAAAATAAAAGCACAAAGGTCTTCCTTCACCAACCCAAAGATCCTAAAATTATACACCATCCCATTTACTCTGCCCTTGATTATCTTCAGCCTAAGATAGCTTAATTGTGCACACCCACTTTTTAGACCCACGAGCCGCCCCTGCTACCTACCTACCGACCTACCTACAAACATACGACATGCACAACTGGACTCTCACAGAACAGTAGCAATGTTGATTAAAGTACCCCCCTCCCCCCTTTTTTCCAGACCAATTCTTGTAATAAGTTAAATAAGTTAAAAGTTAACCCCCGCCACGACGTCATGGCCACCCAAATAATTCATATAGATCCCCTGAGAGAGCAGATCCCAGAAGTGTTTAGTCGGAGAAGTAAGTTCCATACGGTGCAGCGTATTTGCTAAAAGTGAGCTCTTCTTCAGCTTGTTATACCTAGTTTACAGTCACTGGAACTAGTCTGGACGTATTTTACTACTTTAGCCTTGGGATTTCGATTTCCTAAAGAAGGGGAAATCTTTCACAGAAGAGAAATGAAGGCCTTCATTTATAGGTTGTAACGACGACACTGATTTAAAAAAACCCAACAAAACTGTAAATGCAGTTCAATTAATTAATAGAGCTTCAATTAATTAATAGAGCTAAAGTTTAAACAGTGATGTCATTCGAATGTTAACTTTGTACATAGACTATAACGAATAAAGTTGAATTTTCGATAATGAAACAAAGGTGAAAACTAAGAAGATGATTGCTGTAGTAATGTTATTCGTAGCAAAGGAAAAGTCTTAAATTGCCCTCATTGAGAGGTGTGTCTGTATAAATATGTTTTAAAAATAGCAATACATTCACTGGCCTTCAACTCAGCGAACATTTGAGCCAAACAAGGTATGTCACATTATACTTCTATTATTACTCTTGGTTTGGCTTGAAATTTTGACAAAGAGAGGTAGATTTTTGCGTAAAAATCCTTGAGCTAAAACCAGTAATGTGAGTTTTTTCTTCCTGAGCCTTCTTCTGTTTTGATATCATCTGTGTCACGCTTCTTCGATACAGTGCCAATGGTGTGTTTTTGGAAATCGGTGTTACGGTAAAACCTACCACCCTCGGAGGCTGAAACGATAACATGCAAAAAGACCCATATCATACCTGCAGTTACTTGGAGTGGTGGCCCTTGGATCTGGAACAGTAAACAAATACATAATATAGGTCGTATTCTTTGTTTTCAACATTTCATTCACTTCACTGGTTAATTAATAAATCAAACGACAAAATACTTAATTCCATAATCCATAACCTAATTTACTTATCCATGAGACAAATTCATCATTACATACCCCCCCCCCAAAAAAAAATAAATAAATATATAAATAAATAAATATATATATATATATATAAAAATAAATATTATAAACATAAAAATAAATAAATAAAAATGTATAAATAAATAAATAAATAAATAAAATAAAATAAATAAGTAAATAAAAAAATAAATAATCATATGATAATAATAATAATAATATTATTAATAATAATAATAATAATAATTTAATAATCATAATAATAATAATAATAATAATAATAATAATAATAATAATAATAATAATAATAATGATAATATGGATCAGGGAAGCCTACCATTGCCCACAATTTGTTGAAGGACTTGCTTGTCACTGTCACAATAAACATCAGCAACGACGGACAAGACCTCCATTTAAGCTCAAGACCAAAGGCTTCCAACCTACATGTAGCATGGTGTGCTCAACCACATTAAGGAACTTGCCTTCAGACTTTTCAACCAGTTGAAATTCTTTATGATCTTTTTATCTGTATTCGTCAAACAACCATGTTTGTCTATAACGTCACAAGTGTGTGCACAAAACTTATACACTTGAATAGACAAGAAAGGATTTCAGTAGAGCCTCCACCCTCGCCCCCACCCACTGCATGTTCCACACGTTTCCGCTGCCCTTTAGTGAGATGTCCACATCGAAGGAATCAGCTTGAATATGACTCTTCCGTTTTCTTGCCACTGAAAGAGTACCTCTGCATTTGGAACGGATTAATTATGTTGCGTGGGAATTGGGTCAAGCCTAATAAGGGCAACAACCACTTACTTGACGGTGGCTACTCCAGCGTTGTACATTAGCCAGTCCCATTCGAAGGATAAGGAAACCACAATTTGGGTTCTCATGAGCATGTAGCTTCCATATGTCGACGACAGGCAAGACTACCCTTTCGAAAGGAAACCAAATTCCACACCAGAAGCAGCAGATTATCATTCCCTCTGGGGAGATGCATTGTGACAATGGCTTTAACCACAGCTGTCAACAATAATGTGCAGCAACCACAAATAGTATTTTTTTAAAAAAAGATCCCACAATGAGGCGTGCGGTTCATGTGTTTTTGAATTTCGTGTTTTCAATAGTGTACCATTATGCTACTCGTTACAACTTGAACACAATTGTGAAAATAATACTTGTGTATTTTACGTGATGCTAGAGTGTTCATCAAAATTAGCAACTTAATCCCCTTTTGATAGACAAATATGTCTTTCTAAAAGTTGGAACATTGGAGGAAGATTTTCCTAAAATCATAAAAATAAATTATCATATATTATCACAAGAACAGTCCTGTTTCACGGCAAGTTTTTTTGAATAAAAGAAGGAAATGCAGTAGGTGATGTGAAAGAATCCATCATCAAAAGAGCAGTGAACCGTCGTGTATAAATTACATGTACATTTAAATGTACAAGCTGTATTATAAATAAAATAGCGCCAACAACAGAGACGATCCTAGAAAAGAGGTCAATTTTAGCTAGATCTTCTGCTTAAAATCAAAGGTGTGTTTGGTTCTTTTTCGATCCCCCGCCCCAACCAATTTAAAAAAAGAAAAGAAAAGGCAGCAACCTGCACCTGATAATTCCTTAAATGTGTAAGTCGGGTAGATTCTCACGTCTCTGTTTTAATCTCTTGTTCTCAGGGGCGAAGGCTGACTTGTTTGACAGGGTAATCAAAGTGAAACGGGACCAGATATAGATCTATATGGCATGTAGATATCACACAAGAATCTTACTCGAGGCGGCGACTCTGACTGAGTTGTAAATGAAAACAAATCCGGAATTCATAGTGTATGTTCAACCGCCAAAATAATCGGGAAAATATCTTATTAAATATCAGTTCCAACTAAAATTAAATTAACTTTAGATGTGAATACATAAACACAAAGCAAAGAAGCAGAGATGTCAGTACTAGATCTATATGTTATAGATCTACCAGAGAGTCTAACTCTTTGGTAGAACATGACAATTATCTTTTTTTAAATTTCACATTTGGCTGTTTTTGTTAGCCTTTCGCGGCCAGGAGCTGGTGTCATAATCGAGGTCACGATCTGATTATAGGACAGTAAAAAGTCGAGGAAAAAAAACAAGCACATGCAGCAGCAAAGAGATTGTTAGGAGTTAGTTCCCCTCACATTTGTGAGGTAGACTCGACCAGTGTTCGTTAGCTTACTTAATCAGGGCTTGTGATTGATTATAACTGTGGCCCCAAAGGGGTGAACAGGGTATATTATGTGGCAATGAAACAGCCATGATATGCACATGTTCCCTCAACTGTATTGGTAGACTCTTCCAGCCTCACTTTAAGCTTACTTAATCAAAGCTTGCGACTGCTTATGGAGTGGCCCGAGAGTGGTGAAGAGGCTATTTATGTGGCCGTGAAACCGTTTTGAATGTTAGGCATGCTCATTGTGGATTACGAACCTCTTTTTACTTTTAATTTAAGAGGTTTACGTTTAAGGATGAATTTGACAGCGACAATGTTTCAACATCAGGAAGGGAAGCAGTGATTATTTGATTATATAGACGCTTCGCCCCTGCTTGTTCTTATTTTCTTTTGAAAGAGTCAAACGATGGTGTCGGTTGGGTGAAAAGCTTCTCTGGTCTGTCCTGTCCCTTATATTCTCCCCTATATATTTCTACTTGCTCCTCTTGCTTTTTTTCTTTTTTCAAATGACCACCGTCTCATTGACATTCTTCTCTGTAACCAATAAATAAAACAATAACCGTAAATAAGGTACGTTGGTACTCGGCAAAGAACGGACAGGTGCAAGCAACTACAGAAGGGAACTTCATCTCAAAGACATGACAGCAGTTTCAGTGAAGTGGTAAACAGAACGTTCTACTGTTATAACTTACCAACAACAAAAAAACCTGCCTCCGAGAAGTTTCTGCTTTGATCATTGCAGAAGATGGGGCGTAAAGATCTCTCTCTTATTTCAGGTCCTGACTTAGATGGGTGAAGCGGAAGGGACGTCACGATACCCCTGACTCTGACATCCTCTATTTCACCATCATTTTGCAATGAAAGAAGCCTCTCTCCACGAGTCGGGAAATCAGTCCCAGCTCCTTGGTCCAGCCATCTTTCAGTTGGTATGTAATCGTTGTCATCAGAAGATTGGACTGCTACCGTGAGACGTTTGGCCCTGGGGTCCCGAGAGCTACTCACAGGAAGTGGGATGTTATTATATGGTTCTCCTGTCTCCATTGGACTCTCTCTTCGAGTCGGGACATCAGCCCCAGCTCCTTGGTCCAGCCATCTTTCAGTTGGTATGTAATCGTTGTCATCAGAAGATTGGACTGCTACCGTGAGACGTTTGGCCCTGGGGTCCCGAGAGCTACTCACAGGAAGTGGGATGTTATTATATGGTTCTCCTGTCTCCATTGGACTCTCTCTTCGAGTCGGGACATCAGCCCCAGCTCCTTGGTCCAGCCATCTTTCAGTTGGTATGTAATCGTTGTCATCAGAAAGTTGAACTGCTACCGTGAGACGTTTGGCCCTGGGGTCCCGAGAGCTACTCACAGGAAGTGGGATGTTATTATATGGTTCTCCTGTCTCCATTGGACTCTCTCCACGAGTCGGGAAATCAGTCCCAGCTCCTTGGTCCAGCCATCTTTCAGTTGGTATGTAATCGTTGTCATCAGAAGATTGGACTGCTACCGTGAGACGTTCGGCCCTGGGTTCTCGAGAGCTACTCGCAGGAAGTGGGATGTTATTACATGGTTCTCCTGTCACCATTGGGCAAGTTGGGTGATGACTCAAGCGTATATCTTGTACACCCTCCTGGTCGCTCAAAGCAGTGCTCCACCTTTGGCAAAAATAGCAGGCAATGCTTTGTCCGTTCCCAAAGTAGTAAAAGCCATTTTCTGCCAAAGCTGTTCTCAAGAGGTAATTAACTTCTGCGGGAAAAGTTAAAAGCCGACACCGTTCTTCGTTCAGTTCTTTGTATTGTATGTTGCCAATTACATTCGAAATAACAGGAAAAACCCAAATGTCATTTTGAGTGTTGCAACGGGTGTTAATTTGCAGAGATAAAATTTCATGATTTGTTGACTTTTTGGTATAATTTTTGGCACCCACGTGTTTTTTCGGAACGCTGGGTAAACCAATGTAGAGCCATAATGCTATATCTAACTGTCTTATTATTGCTGCATATTCATTTGTTTCCGATGACATTTGAGAGCTATCTACGGACGATAAGTTATCAGACTCGAGCTCAGTAGGCCTAACATGTGTCCCCTCATCAGGATCTCCAGATGATCTTCCTTCCTCCATGTCAAATATAGGTTGGGAAGGCTCCAACACTGGTATCGAAACTGGTAAGTTTTCTGTTGCGGGTAGAATTGCGTCGTCGACAGAGTGTGCTGCAATGGAATTGGAATACTTTATGGTAACCAGAGCAAGATTTAAAAAGAATAGGAATAATGGTAAATCACAAATATAGAGTTACACAAAGAAAAAGATCTGCAGCATAACTCGAAACAGGAATTAACTCTCATTGGTTCGGTTTAATAGACGGTTATTACCTTTTGGGATACCGCGTGGAGGAATCAGGCTCTCGTCAGTTTTGGGCCATGAAGAAATATTAGTATCATCTTAAACAGGGGCGGCTCGTGGAGCTAAAAAGTGGGCGGGCACAATTAAGCTATCGCAGGTTGAAGATAGTCAAGGGCCTAGTAAATGGGATGGTGTATAACTTTAGGATGTTTTGGTTTGTGAGGGAGGATCGTGCTTATATTTTCATTCTTTTTACTTGTGGTTTTGACTTTTAGAACTAAATCTGTTTGTTAGCTAAACGTCAATTTCATTCACCCTGCATTAGAACTCAACACTCAAGTAATACCTTTCACCATTCCACTACAAAATCGTTCAAAAGCACAACTCATAGGACTGTAACTAAAGTATGTCACGTTCACCTCCCTCAGGTTCACGGTCACAGAGTCACTTAAAATAGCGGCGAGACAATGAACCAATCACAGTTCACTTGAGCACTCCGTTGGATTGCTCCGGGGCTCACATAATTTTGGTATAGAATAGTGCACAGACTATCGCGTTTATTTTTAGATTGCTTACTGTGGGCTATATTTCGGCACTATTCGGCAGGAGCGCATTTGAGATGTGCCTTCTTATTAATATTACTGCTCCGCCAAACTCCCTACGAGTGTCGTCATCGTTTGGGTTATCCCAAAGAGCGATTTATAGGTCAGGTTTCCATTGTTGAATATCCTGTTATGTTCAGGTACAGCGCATAAACTTTGGCATGGCATAGTAGATGTTTTACGGCGCTATAGACACAGAAATGACAGTTACTGTGCCAGCGAGGACCTTGTTTTGATAATATTTGGCTAGTGTTTGTTTCTGGCGTCTTTTATTTTATCATTGTCGGTGCTTTACGTAATATAATATTAAAACATTTTCGGCGGCACTGCTCGACCGTGCTCTTTGGACGAACCGCGCCTGATCTTAAAGCTTGTTCATTAATTGTCTTGCTTTTGATGAATATATGTCCATCTATCTTGAATAGAAGTCAAGATATTTGCAACTAAAGGAGGTGGAGGTCGCCTGATGTCAGAGGTAAAATTGGCGGACAAATGGCTACCTAAGTTTGGAGACCTCCAAAGCTTTAGTGTCCTTAAAAAGTGTAAGTGTAAATTTGTGTGCCTGAGATCAACGTTTTGAAGTAAAGTCCACGCTGGAATGTGACTCTAAAAGTTGTTGAGCCAAAAAAAAAAAAAAAAAAAAAGAAACTCCGAATAAAACTGCACGAAGGAATAAGCATTGCCGTTTTGTTTTATTCAATTATGTTGACGAGCACCTAATTTCACAACGATTCCTCACATTATAAAACACTTCCCTTTAATGAATACAATCTCACAGGTACGCAGGCAAAATTGGGTGATATTTATATTGTGGAAAAGGCGGAGGAAGGGGCGGGGGGGGGGGGGGGCACCAAAGGTCTTGCCCACTAAATACACTAAAGTGGGACTTGATCTTTGAAATTAGTATTTATTTACTCTAATATTGTCTACAATTATGGAATGAAATTTCTTACATTGTCAGATTATTTCCAAGTACGTTGACGTGGTCAGAAATTATTCCGTAAAAAAATCTGTTTGTTTTGTATGAAGCTCCCACGAACAGGACACTAGGTGAAAAGTTTTTTTTAATGAGTGAGGAAACAATACCATTCACACAAATGTCGGAGACGGTATCATAACATGTCTTCAGGAAGATAACACGTCCCTTTACATTTGTGCCACTGAAATTTAAAAACAGCTTTTTGTTTTTTTCTCTTGAACGATACAAGCCACCATGATGGCACTAGCAAGTGTTGGATAACAGATCTTAGAAGGGCACTAAAAACAAACAAAACAGGCACTCTTGTGCGGAAAACAGATCGATACACAGTAAAATTAGCGTCCACTTGAAAAAAAAATCATACATGCAGTTGTCATTTTACTGTTGTTGTTAAAGTAGACAGGGATCTGTGCCTCTCTATAGAAGTCAAGTAGACTTTTCGTCATATCCGGAAGTAGTTATGGGACTGCCGGTTGATCGTTACCCATTTCGTCGCCATCTTGGAATTAGTTAGAGTTTTTATTTCTAGTTTTCACAAAAAGCCGTTAAATAAAATATCCTTGAGATAATAAGGGGAAATGTTTCCTGATTTTCTTCAGTCGTTTGTTTGTAATTTAGAATACCGTTCAGGAAGAGCAGCAGCTAGGTTTATATTGTGAAATGGGGTCTGTTTGTTTGTTTGTTTGTTTAGTATAGGGTTTTACGGCGCTCGCAACTGCATACGGTCATATGAGCGCGCGGGATACACCTAATACTTTTTCGTTGGTAGGAAATTTTGAATTTTGCCCGGGTGGCGGCCGAAGCCTACTCTTATCGATTTTAGACCACCAAGGGTCTTGCCCACTAAATACACTAAAGTGGGACTTGATCTTTGAAATTAGTATTTATTTACTCTAATATTGTCTACAATTATGGAATGAAATTTCTTACATTGTCAGATTATTTCCAAGTACGTTGACGTGGTCAGAAATTATTCCGTAAAAAAATCTGTTTGTTTTGTATGAAGCTCCCACGAACAGAACACTAGGTGAAAAGTTTTTTTTTAATGAGTGAGGAAACAATACCATTCACACAAATGTCGGAGACGGTATCATAACATGTCTTCAGGAAGATAACACGTCCCTTTACATTTGTGCCACTGAAATTTAAAAACAGCTTTTTGTTTTTTTCTCTTGAACGATACAAGCCACCATGATGGCACTAGCAAGTGTTGGATAACAGATCTTAGAAGGGCACTAAAAACAACCAAACAGGCACTCTTGTGCGGAAAACAGATCGATACACAGTAAAATTAGCGTCCACTTGAAAAAAAAATCATACATGCAGTTGTCATTTTACTGTTGTTGTTAAAGTAGACAGGGATCTGTGCCTCTCTATAGAAGTCAAGTAGACTTTTCGTCATATCCGGAAGTAGTTATGGGACTGCCGGTTGATCGTTACCCATTTCGTCGCCATCTTGGAATTAGTTAGAGTTTTTATTTCTAGTTTTCACAAAAAGCCGTTAAATAAAATATCCTTGAGATAATAAGGGGAAATGTTTCCTGATTTTCTTCAGTCGTTTGTTTGTAATTTAGAATACCGTTCAGGAAGAGCAGCAGCTAGGTTTATATTGTGAAATGGGGTCTGTTTGTTTGTTTGTTTGTTTAGTATAGGGTTTTACGGCGCTCGCAACTGCATACGGTCATATGAGCGCGCGGGATACACCTAATACTTTTTCGTTGGTAGGAAATTTTGAATTTTGCCCGGGTGGCGGCCGAAGCCTACTCTTATCGATTTTAGACCACCAAGGGTCTTGCCCACTAAATACACTAAAGTGGGACTTGATCTTTGAAATTAGTATTTATTTACTCTAATATTGTCTACAATTATGGAATGAAATTTCTTACATTGTCAGATTATTTCCAAGTACGTTGACGTGGTCAGAAATTATTCCGTAAAAAAATCTGTTTGTTTTGTATGAAGCTCCCACGAACAGAACACTAGGTGAAAAGTTTTTTTTTAATGAGTGAGGAAACAATACCATTCACACAAATGTCGGAGACGGTATCATAACATGTCTTCAGGAAGATAACACGTCCCTTTACATTTGTGCCACTGAAATTTAAAAACAGCTTTTTGTTTTTTTCTCTTGAACGATACAAGCCACCATGATGGCACTAGCAAGTGTTGGATAACAGATCTTAGAAGGGCACTAAAAACAAACAAAACAGGCACTCTTGTGCGGAAAACAGATCGATACACAGTAAAATTAGCGTCCACTTGAAAAAAAAATCATACATGCAGTTGTCATTTTACTGTTGTTGTTAAAGTAGACAGGGATCTGTGCCTCTCTATAGAAGTCAAGTAGACTTTTCGTCATATCCGGAAGTAGTTATGGGACTGCCGGTTGATCGTTACCCATTTCGTCGCCATCTTGGAATTAGTTAGAGTTTTTATTTCTAGTTTTCACAAAAAGCCGTTAAATAAAATATCCTTGAGATAATAAGGGGAAATGTTTCCTGATTTTCTTCAGTCGTTTGTTTGTAATTTAGAATACCGTTCAGGAAGAGCAGCAGCTAGGTTTATATTGTGAAATGGGGTCTGTTTGTTTGTTTGTTTGTTTAGTATAGGGTTTTACGGCGCTCGCAACTGCATACGGTCATATGAGCGCGCGGGATACACCTAATACTTTTTCGTTGGTAGGAAATTTTGAATTTTGCCCGGGTGGCGGCCGAAGCCTACTCTTATCGATTTTAAACCACCAAGGGATCTTTAACGTGCGCAACTTGCACACGGGTCCTCCGAGATTTTTCGCCCTTGTCCGAGAAGGCTAGGTGTAGATCTTTCCTACCAGAAGATCAGGGGTGTGGCAGAAAGACAGCACTTAGGAGGAGCCAAGGAGTAGCAGTAGAAAGGCTGCAGAAAGAGTCAGGAGCCCAGAGGTGGGGGCAAAGGAGGTGAGGGGGTGGGGGCAGAAAGTGGAAATGAAAGCAGACAACAGAACATTAAATTGTTAGAGATCAGGAAAGGATGTGAAAGGAGACAATTTTAGAGAAGAAAATTTTTTTTTGGTCGCTACCCGGAATCGAACCCGGGACCTTTGAATGAGAGGCCAACACCTTAACCTCTAGGCCACGAGAGCCCCCCAAATGGGGTCTATACAGCAACTTCAAGGTAAAGTGTTTGGAACATTGAATTTCTTAAGCTATAGACTTAATTTTAATGAAAAGGGGAATGACTCGATTATATAACAACACTTTGAACTAAAATTTAAATATTCGCGTTCAACACCATTGTCTGTCGAGGCAGTGCGGCGCCTGGTCTCTTTCAAATTCAGTTTGCCAGTCGCCTCCAAGAAAACACTTTCAAAGCCAATTCCCAAAAGCCATCTGAACGAATTTGCGTTTCATTGACACTGTTCTGTGACACATTTTGACTAACTTCTAAACAATAGGCTGTTGAAATGTATAGCGAAAAAGTGCTTATTGTTACAATGTTAGTAAAATTACGACAACAAAGATTTTCACAGAAGAAAAAGCAACTTACTGAAAAAGGTGTTCCTTGGATCAGACATTTTCTTTCACACGTCAGAAAAGACTGAGACCTTTGCTTATAAAGCCCCATTGACGTCAGTTTCAGTCATGTGACCAGTAAGCCTGGCCAATAGTTCTTTGATTAGCCCTTTTCGTCTGCTGCGGAAGGTCGATGCATCGTTTAGCGAATATCGCCACCTTACGCGAGGAGGCGAGTATGTTATACCCATGACGATTACCGTGAGACGATTACACTCAGGTCCAAAGTTCATTTGGCTAGAAAAAAACCGTGGCCAGTGGTATACTTTAAGTAAATGTATCCAGTAATAAAAATAAAGATACTCTTTTCGAAAGAATATCCTACGCGAAAGACACACACACACACACACACACACACACACACACAAGCATACATGAACACATAGAAGGATAGATAGATCGATAGAAGGATAGATAGATCGATAGATAGATAGATAGATAGATAGATAGATAGATAGATAGATAGATAGATAGATAGACTGATAGATAGATGGTTAGAGACACACACATTGGAATCGCTTTAGCCCAAAGCAGCAGCAGACCGAAAGAAAAGGAAATCCCAGATTTGTCAGCAGTGCTTTGCCAACTCCAGGAACCATGGGTTGAAGGCAAGGAGCCACACTCCTTTCGTGATCCTCCTTTTTTAACTTTGCGTTTCTGCTCAATATTATTATTATAATGCCTACAGAACGCAGAAAAAGCGCAAGACAAACCAACAAAGCAAGGCATGTCCGATTCTCTGCCCTAATACAGTAACAGGGACCCGATCGTCATGATAAACGCTTGCCGGCCTTATTTTACTATCAGGTATCATGCCCAAAGATCGTGTAGAAGAGAATCTTTGTCATGCCTAAGGGCGATAACATAAAGAAAGCCGAAACTTAAGCGAAGATTCTCTACTACACGATCTTTGGCTTGATCTCGTGGGCCAATAAACAGACCGGCTGCCCGGGCTGCGTTGCCTTGCTGCGAAGGCCTAGACCGTGACCCCATTATGTTGCATTTCTAGGAAAGAAAAATTAGGACAAGTCTGGCGTTTCACTGGTGTGAAGTGTGTAGTGGATGGCGTCAATATGCGCCGTGAAAGTAGTATTTTCTAGGCTAGTTGGCCTTACAGAAGACCGACTGTGAAATGCTATTGTATGCTTCAGTAGCCCTTTTGGTGAAAGAGCTTTTGTAGGGGTGGTTGTTTTTATATGATATATCTACCACCTCTGCCACGTTACCACGACACCTTCGATTCTGTCCCGTCCATTACAACACAGAAGGCATAGCTACTATAGACTATCATCATGCCAAACTAAATTTTCTTCAATCTTTTTCATTCTGTTTTTACTGTGAGATGCATTTATGGCTAAATCAGAAAGCACTTCGTCATCAATAAAAACAACTGTAACAACATAAAATAATACATTCTCTGATATAGAGATCTACAATTATTTTTTTCTCCAACTAACCAGGACCAACAGCACTACTTTTGTAATTGTATCAACGGGGTGCGGTAATTGAGATAACTATTTATGAACATAAGAAACGAAATGAACAACTCCCCCCCAAAAAACGAAACAAAAAACAGAAACAAAACAAAACAAACAAAACCAAAACAAACAAAAACACCCCAAAAAATCCCAACACAACAATGAACAAACAAAAACAACAACAACAAAACATCAAACAGATTTAACATGTATGGTGAGAATAAGTACATGGACATGTATTGCCTCACGGTGTGATTTAAGCTACAGTATTTCGTCCTCTCATTTTAGCAGTGTTTCTCAATATTGACACTGTTATTATGCATGGCAGGCGAGATCCTTTATGAGTAAATAAAACAATTAATTTACTCGTGTTTATAAACGATCAAGTCAAAATGTGCTTATTATTTTTATAATTGCCACGCAACACTCCCCGACGGTGAAGTGAAATATTCTGTAAGAGCCATCCTCTCTGAAATAGCATCTCGCTTGGGTCTTCCAAGCGTTTTTTGTTAACAGGATGAACCGCATATCTTCGATAAGAAATTCATGAACGTCTTAATTTCCTTCGTAACCACAATAATAATAAGACTTTTTTCTTCTTTGTCAGCGCCATGATTGACAATGTTGCTGTCTCTTGCTGCCTGTTTGAATGTGACCACATTTCCCTGTGCCTGTCCGTCCTTGTGCGACAGCAAGTAGCTGTCCCTGTCTGTCCGTGTCACCGTGAACGTTCCCGCACAGGGAAATGTGGTCACATTCAAACAGGCAGCAAGAGACAGCAACATTATCAATCACGGCGCTGACAAAGAAGAAGAAGAAAGAAAATCACGAATTTCTCATCGAAGATATGCGGTTCATCCTATTAACAAAATACGCGTTTTGTTAGGTGAATATCACCATCTCCTCCCACAGCTTGTGAATGATGAGGAATAATTCATTGAATATTTTCAAATGCAGCCTTCAACATTCAGAAATCTTCTAGACCTGTGTGAGAAAGATTTGACAAAGATGGCAACAAATTTCCAGACACCCATTTCCGCCAAGCCTTTCTTGTACCGCAATGATCAGTTTCTCTTCAAAAGCCTCCATCTTGACAAGAACAATCACTGTGATCCTATCTTTATTTAACTCCCTTGAAACAGGCAGACAGGAGAAGCAGTGCACGCACTTTTCGAATTTCCTGACTGTCGCTGGGTGTTGCTGTCTGTGCCTGTCCGTGTTCAGCATAGCTGGGTTGGTGTGTTTTAAAAGAAATCAGGAGCGGTTTTGGCGTGCACGCTTTTTGATGTGTTGCTGTGACAGCAACTAACTGTCCCTGTCCGTGTCACCGTGTCCCTAGTCGGCCACTTTTCTCCTGACAATGTGTGGCCATCTTATTTTCGACTGTATTCTATACCCTAGTAAAAAATACAGTCCACCCCCCCTCCCCAACCCTCCTAGTACAGTCTTGGTAATGATAAGTTTAATGTTGTACAGGACACCGGCTATAAGATTTACACGATAGATCCTCGGGTACGATCTCTTTTAGTGTATATAAAGAAAAACAGTCTTGTAAGGCTATTATAGATGTTCGCAAGGACACGCTCGGCTATAACACTGTGGTCCGACAATCGCAAATATCCTAACAGAAACGAACAAGAAAGCATTAAATAAAACAACAAATGAAATAAAACAACACCCGTCATGGCGATATGCACCAAAGTGACCCACAGTACGCCTGGGGGGGGGGCTCTCGTGGCCTAGAGGTTATGGTGTTGGCCTCTCATTCAAAGGTCCCGGGTTCGATTCCGGGTAGCGACCGAAAAATTTTCTTCTCTAAAATTGTCTCCTTTCACCTCCTTTCCTGCTCTCTAGCAATGTTCTGTTGTCTGCTTTCATTTCCACTTTCTGCCTCCACCCCCTCACCTCCTTTGCCCCCTCCTCTGGGCTCCTGACTCTTTCTGCAGCCTTTCTACTACTGCTACTCCTTGGCTCCTCCTTACTGCTGTCTTTCTGCCACACCCCTGATCTTCTGGTAGGAAAGATCTACGGTACACCTAGCCTTCTCGGACAAAGGCGAAAAATCTCGGAGGGCCCGTGTGCAAGTTGCGCACGTTAAAGATCCCTTGGTGGTCTAAAATCGATAAGAGTAGACTTCGGCCGCCACCCGGGCAAAATTCAAAATTTCCTACCAACTGAAAATATTAGGTGTGTCCCGCGCGCTCATATGACCTTATGCAGTTGCGAGCGCCGTAAAATACTTTACAAAAACAAAAAACAGTACGCCTAATTTATGGTGGCGACGAGATTTGTAATTATAATGTGAAAAATGCATAAGATAATAAACGGTAGATCTATGTCATTGGATGAAAAGTTTTGAAAAGCAGGCACTGCACGCGAGATCTACTTGTCTTCCTTTTCCTCTCTGAGCTTCAATGTATTTGTTCGATTAAGAACGGTTGTAAAGCGCACATTGTAGATCTAGACCGTAGAGTAGAACATGGATGTGCGCTATATAAATGCAGGTACAATTATCATTACCTTTATTATGATGTCCTATCAACCTTAATTTTACTTATTAAGATACCCGGTACTAGAAAAAGAAAGATATAAAGATAGGAGGAAAAAAATCACAGGAAAAGAAAGGATCAATCACTGATAAATTGCCGACGGGTTATCTGTGTAAAGAAACCGCTCCAATTTATATATGTATTACAGTGTATGACTTACACTAGACCCCCCTAATTATATATTACACGGATTGGGCTACAATGGGGCATCTCGTAGGTCCCTGCGGTTCTGTTATAACTGGGGCCCAATATGGGAGCTAAACACACGGGGAATGCTTACAGAACATAATGTGATGAGTAATGAGTGCATTATACCGTTAAAGCTTGCGGGGGGGCATTCAAGACAAGAGAGGGAAGGCGCGGTGTGTGTGTGTGTGTGTGTGTGTGTGTGTGTGTGTGTGTGTGTGTGTGTGTGTGTGTGTGTGTGTGTGGAAGGAGATAGGCACTCAGGAGGGAAAAATTTCGTCAAGAGGCGTATAGTGTTTCTTACAATTTCAGTTTCAGTTTCGCGTCAAGTGTGTGTTTGTGCGTGTGCGAGTGTGTAGCCGGTATAACATGCTTATTATTGTGTACTGTTATGTTCGCCGTGGTTACATCGGTCAGGGTCGTGCATGTAATCGGATTGGGTTTGTAACTGTTGTAGTCTTGTTCGATTCTTCGTCTTACGAGTTACGAGTAAAAGACGTGTCCTAGTTTAAGTTTGGTAAAGTCACGTCGCCTTTCTTTCTGCTGGCGACCCGAGCACTTCTGTCGGGTGTTTCGTTCTCTCCAACACTGGTGACAAAGAGACAAGGACTGTCTAGCAGCTTTATGTCACCCAAAAATATGATCTGCAGCTGGTATTCTCAGTAGTAGTAGTAGTAGTAGTAGTAGTAGTAGTAGTAGTAGTAGTAGTAGTAGTAGTAGTAGTAGTAGTAGTAGCAATAATAGTACTTAAGTAGTA